ATTCAACCGATTGGGACAGGCGTGTCTAGGGAGGCCGTACATCTGCACACCAGCAACGGTTGCGATAATGATGATGCAGTTGTAGATTGCCCAAACATACTTTTTTGATCGGAGGCGTCTTCAGGACTTCCAAATCCAGCGTCTTTGAGGGTGATGTGCGCTGAGAGGGCGTCGGAACTGTCCAGATGAATAATGGGGAACTGCAAAGAGTAAAGGAAAATAAAAGGAATTAACAATCTACATTGAGTGCTTGGTGGTTTAAAGACACTCACGCCACATCGCAGATCAACTGAGAACCAACTGGGAACGTAGATAAACTTCTCGCGTTCCTTCACGACGGCGTCGAAGTCGACAGGTCCAAGATTTTGCACAATTTTGGCCTTCAGAATGCACAGTGTTTAAAGCATCTAACTTTGTCAGAAGTAAGGCCCAGAACACCCATCCTCTTGCCAAATCAGGGCAGAATTTTGCTCAAACTGAAGCTTATCATCATACAAGACACTTTCCTGTGCTTATCCTTGCGTAATTACATGCTGGGAATGAAAAGGGCCTACTGATGATCATCTGCTGCTTTTACAACAATTTTTGCAAGACATGATGCTGAGAACTGCCTTAATAAAACGACAATTTTCGAAAACTGATTATTGAACGGAGCGATCGAGCTTGGTAACCGTTATTTCGCAGGGTGTTTATATGCGACAAAGTGATTATGAAGCAGTAGTGACATTCGTTTCAATTTGGAGCAATTTTATCTCTGACCAAATCCATACCAACGTTGAACCGCATCAAAAGGGGAGAATTCAAAAGAACTATTATAGGTGCCAAGGTTATGGCCAGAGTAAACAAACAACAAAGACTACAGCGCGGACGTCCGACATGTAGGCACTTGAATGTCGAAAAAAAGCCAGTCTACTTGTTCGCGATGTTGACCCGGATGGGTGAGTTAAACAAGAATGAAATTATTGAACGAATGATCACCTGCAAAACGTCGTAAATCGCAACGTGGTTGTTAGCATCGCGAGTAACGATGAAGCGTTTCTCGCTGCAAATATGGTATTGCACAATTGGGGCTCCGCCTGTAAGGAAGTAAGCAGAATGAATATGTTTTCCAAGCAGTCAAATCACAAATGTGCTACAGTCTGCGACAATGAAATTGTGTCCCCTTTAAAATGATTCGATGCAACGAACTCTAACTTGTAAGAACTTGGAGAGCGCATAATTACCCTTACACAATCCCCTTAAGTTGAAACCCTCTTTTTGCCTGATAACAGAGAAGATGGAAAGGAAAAAAGCCCCTTCCATGTGTTCAGAGAAGACGATTCGTTCACTCAATGCTATTAGAGTGGTATGAGAAGCGGGATTTTTTTATTTTACAAACTTTTAGTGGGTGGGTGAGTTACGTAGTAAAACAAACTTAAGGATAAGCCACTAAAGTTACAGTCTCTCAC